GTTAAAACCAAATCATTGACGAATGACACCAAAAGCCAAGCGTCTGACTAAATTTGATTTTATTTGCTATAACGTCATTCAACCCCGTCGACATTCAACTCCACATTTTCCAACACACAGACGCGCAAAAACCGCTGCAGTATGCACGAGATATTATTCATAGCAAAAAAATATTCCCTACTATCGCCTGATCTAATACTGATATTTTTACAAATCCGATTGAAAAACCCGGAGGTGATACGGTCCATGGGGCCGAGGACCTCGATACAAATCGGTAAAAACTCCATCGAGGGGAGAGCTCCGTCGTACTTTTTGATCTTCTCGTCAGATGCCCTGGTTGCAGCCAAACCGCTTTCTTTGCTAGTAAGCTGCACGTAGCGCTCAGCAAAGGTGCCCGGAACGGTAACGTCCCACGCCAAGCACCTGCCGGCTCTCCAAGGGATCAAGGTACACCCATCAGGGCGCTTACCGTCGTGCACCGCAATGCCCGACGGTTCCTTTAAAACCGGAATTGAGGCCTTGGAGAAAAGTCGGCACACAAAATCGTTTATGGCTGAATGTCGCTGCTGGCGACCTCCGCCCAAACGACAAACAAGACCATGATGGCCGAGTTCATCCGCCTCCGCGCCGCACCTGCATGTATATCGACTCTGAACGGCCAACCCCAGACGGAAGCCAATGGCTGTCCTGACCGTTTCGTCGTCTAATCTGGTACCCACCGACGTATTGGGCAAAGATCTCAGCCAGCCGCAACTCGCCTCGCTGGAAACTGCCAGCAAGCGAGCTGAGGTCGCCGAGTCAGGGCTTGAGGAAAGCAACTCTTTGAATGTGTGTTTATATGCTTCCTCCAAAATGTTGCCCTGGGAGAGGTCTGTTGGTTGGATTGGAGTCGGTGGGGTACAGTGCAGGCTACTAAATTGCCGAAGAAGGGCAGACTGTAGGTCAAGCGTGGCAGATGCGGAAGATTTATAAACAATTGGTGCAAGCTGAACCACGCTTAGTAACCCCAGTCCCCCAAATCGTACCGGCAGCTGAGCCTGAGACCAACCCTTGTCGGTAATATCGACGTTACATATTGCTGAGAGGGCCACCCGCAGAGCACCCTCAAATTCGCCCAAAATGGCCGCATTAACAGAGTTGGATGTGCGCAAAAAATACATCGATTTCGGCAAACTGAGGGCGCCGCGGATGATTGTCAGCGCGTCGTGGACCGGGAGAAGAGAGACAAATGTATGTATGTATGTATGTATGTATGTATGTATGTATGTATGTATGTACGTATGTGTGTGTGTGTAAAAACTCCGTTGAGCCAAATTATCAATAAGTCCTCAGAGGAGGAATCCTCGTTGACAAATGTTTCGGCCCTGAACAACCTCCTCACATTCTCGGGGAACCGGGCCGCGTTCGTTGATCACTTGAACGCTTCTCAATGACTGTTGATTTTTCAGCTATGTTGATCTGCTATTTATACCAAAATTAAGCTTTATATTTCAATATGAAAGCTTGCTAATTTAGCCAACACTCCTCTTTATTTCTATTCAGCCACAATCAATACGAAGCTTGCTCTGCGCTACTAATAAATTTTTTCAGGCATGCTGTACGCATCCTGCCTGACAGTCCCAACTCTTTGAAAAGTGCATACATCGACGCTCCCACTGTTCCTCTTTCACCAGCCTCAACAGCGTAAAACCTGGTTTTGTATCCTTTCTTGTATAACTCTTGAATCAACTGTTCATACTTTGCAGTTTTTAAATCGTGGCTACTGAGCATGTTATCTTCGTACAACACAGTTATTTTAATAGCGATAACTAAATTCTTATTCTCAGATGCCTCCATCATGTCTATTTCTTTGATGTACGTTGGAAAATTTCGTCTTTTTTCCAATTCAAAGTAAACAACCCAATCGTCGGCGTTTTTTAGGATACCATCTTTCACTCGGTCAGGTTTGACGTTTCTGCTTTGTCTTTCTCTTAAGAAATACACCTTCAGGCTCAAGTCGCTCGCAGTGTAAGCATCTATAACTTTCCAGGAATAGTTTTTTTTAACAAAACAAACACTAACAAAGATGAAGCCTATCTCTGAGTATGTCTCTTCTCTAATGAAAGTAGGTTTATCACCGTTATTCAACAGAACCACATTTAATGTAGCAATGGCTTCTAACCTCAATCTACTGCCTTTAGGCAGTAGATTGAGGTTAGAAGCCATGGCTTGAAGTCTCCGGCTATGTCATGGCTTGAAGCCATGGCATTGAAGTCTCCGGCTATAACAACGGGGGAGTATTGATTTGCATCTTGAGTTAGCCGTTCAAGAAAGTCCAAAAATTCTTCAAATGAGAAACTAGATGAAGTGTAACAGCTATAGAAGTAAACATTTTCCACTTTCGCTGCAACAAAAACTGCTTTTGTGTTTTTAATAACTTTCTGAAGTTTTCCACAGGACCGGATGACTGCTTTTGCACTGCTATCCATTTCTAACTGTTGCGTATCTATATGTTTATAAGGCTCCGATATTATTGCTAGACCAATTTTCAGTTCATGCACATTCTGCATGAGCAAATCATGCGTAGCCTCACAATGGTTGAGATTTAGTTGCAATATCTTCATGTTTTAGTCTTTTTCCTTTAGTCAATTGAAGTGCCTTTTTATAAACTGGGCATTGGGCATCTACTAAAACCAGTAACGTGGGCACTACTTCCGGAAAGACTATTTTCATCATATAATGCGCATCGTGCTTCATTTTAACAATCTGCAATTTTGTGCTCTTTTTTACCACATTTAATGCAAAGTTTGGATCGATCCAAAGAACTTTTGCATTGCGTTGCAAATGTCCGATAGGAGTTGCCATTCTTATCGATGCAATTTGTGTACCTCGGTATGCTCTACGTAATGATTTGATAGCATCTATCGTAATTTCAGAACCTTCTCCAGCTACTGTTTGCAAAGTTTAAAGAATGTCGTCTTTTGTAGTGACATCATACAAGTCCTGTTTCTTCAGGTCTTTTTGAGGACCTTTGCAAATCACCGTAGCTTCATTCAACAAGGTCAGATATAGTTTTACGCAAGCCTTGGCTTCTATCTACATTAGTACAATTAACAGGTCAACAATGGTTGTTCTGCGGATTTTGTCTACTGTAGTGCAGACTTGATTATCTGGGACTTCTTTTTTTACTCAAAAAGGTATTTTTCAAGGCATCTTGTCTATGTCTTTGAATTTTTGGTTTCAATAGTAGCAAAGGCTGATTTGTAAACTGTTCTTTCTGCTTTCATTCTGCTTGTCTTTTTTGTACTTGTTGCCATTCATTACTAAAACGTTGTTCTACCATTTCCCTAAGGAGAAAGTTAATTAATCTATCTTTTTTTCTTTTTTTTACTTAGTTTGCCCCCAATTTCTGGAGATGTTCGGTTCTTTCGCTTGACAGACCTAGCGTCAACAGCTGATTCACTGTCTGCATCGGCTCCTGTATCTATTGCTGATGATTCTTTTTGGTTCCGCGCTCTTGATATTGGTTGAAAGAACACTGCACTTGTCAATGAATTTTGAATCTTTTACGTTTTTCTGCTCAATTCCAACGCTTTCAACTTTATATAGGCATTGGCAATATTAGTCGCCCTGCTTTTAATCTCTTTAGGGACATTTGATTTTGGTTTAACAAAATGCTATAGCCCATCAATAAGTTGGCCAAATTGTTCCCAGTTATTCATTTTCATAATTTCAGCATTTGTTTCTAGTGCTTCTTGTTGAGCGTGATCCCTTTTATCAATGATGTCTCCATTTTTTCAAGAATATTTTGTTGTCTTCATTTTAGTCTCACGAGTACCACGGAAAATATGTGTCAACTCCAGCAGAGCCCTGGTTACTGAAGCAAGACCTCTTAAATACATCTGGGGATGGACCTGGTGCCCCAGGGGAACCGTTTGCGACGCCATTTTCCTGTCGCCATTCAGTCCTCGGTACGGTTTCTGCACGCCTTGACTTGGGGTGTGTTTTGTCTGCGAGAACTAGTTTATTTTGTACCTACCCTGTGATCTGAAGATCAGCGAGCATTCTCCTAAACGGTAGCAGTATCACCTCAGCTCCGGGTGTATATATGTATGTATGTATGTATGTGTGTGTGTGTATGTATGTATGCATGTATGTGTGTATGTATGTATGTATGTATGTATGTATGTATGTATGTATGTATGTATGTATGTATGTATGTATGTATTTATGTATATATGTATGTATGTATGTATGCATGTATGTATGTATGTATGTATGTATGTATGTATGTATGTATGTATGTATGTATGTATATATGTATGTATGTATGTATGTATGTATGTATGTATGTACGTACGTATGTTTGTATGTATTAATATTTATATATGTAAGTAAGTATGTATGTGTGTGTGTGTATGTATGTATGCATGTATGTATGTATGTATGTATGTATGTATGTATGTATGTATGTTAAAACCAAAACATGATGAGTGACACTGAACCGTCAAACATCAAGTAACAAATGGATTAACACTTTGATTTGTCGTTAATTGCACATGTCGGCATTCAGTTGGATATTTTCAAGCACACAGACACGCAGGAACCGCTGCAACAAGCACGAAATGTGGTTAGTTGCGAAAAACAGTTCCCTGCTGTTGCCTGATCTGACGCTGATCATTTTGCATATTGCCTTAAGAAATTTAAGGGTGTTGGGGTCCATCGGGCCAAGAACCTCGATGCATATTGGCAAGAATTCCATCGAGGGGAGGGCGTTCCCATATTTTTTTCATTTCCTCGTCCACTGCCCTGGCCGCGGCCAAACCGCATTCTTTACTTGTCAGGTTTACGTATCGTTCGGCGAGGGTGCCAGGGACCGTAACATCCCACGCCAAACATCTGCCGGCTTTCCAAGGTATTACCATCATGCGCAGAAATGCCGGATGGTTCCTTGAGAACCGGGATTGAAGCCTTAGAGAAGAGCCGACAAATGTAATTGTTTAGCGCTGAGTGACGTAGTTGACGGCCCCCACCCAGGCGACAAACCAAACCGTAGTGTCCAAACTCGTCCGCCCCAACGCCACATCGGCACGTGTATTTATTCTGAATGACCAGGCCAAGTTTGAAGCCAATGGCAAATCTCACAGACTCGTCGTCAAGCCTGGTGCCCACAGAGGTGTTAGGCCACGATCTCAACCACCCACAGCTGGCAACGCTGGACATGGCCAACAAACGAGCAGTGGAAAAGTCGAGCACTGGGACCAACCACTGTCAGTCACTTGAACATTGCAAATCGACGACAGGGCGGTGCGCAGGGCTCCGTCAAATTCGCCCAATTTAGAAGGGTCAATGTGTTTAGATGTACGCAGGAAGTACATCAATTTGGGCAAACTGAGGGCATTGCGGATAATAGTCAAGGCATCATGGGCCGAAAGACAAGAAACACGACCCAGGGCAAATTTAAGCTCTGAGAGCTTTTGGTCAAAAAACTTTATTTGATAATCGCCCTCGACCAAGGGTGTGCCTAAAAAACTCAGTTCTGATGCACCAACTCTGGGTATTTCAGCCAGCGCATGTGGCTACTGAAATGAACTTTGGCAGTGAAGTTCGCATTTTTTAATGTTTAACTCTAAGCCAATTGCAGCGGAGTTATGCTTCAAATATTCGTAGCTATCGGCCATAGTTGGACCGTCCGATGCTATGCTGATATCATCCAGATAAGCGCAAACGAAAGTGGACGAAGCTTTCTCTAAGAGTGGATGAAGAGTTAGTGCGAACAACAAAGGACCAAGGGGATCACCCTGCTGTACCCCCTCGGACGATTCTACAACCCAAGAGTGGTAGCCAAGGGAAGAGACTCCGCCATAGGCAGAATGGCAAAAATTATAGATATTGGGGCAAAAAAGTTTGACAGCCTCCAACATCGAGTCTCTTTTCAAGGCATTGAAGGCATTTTTAAAGTCCAGTTTCAGAAACCCCCATTGGTCGGGGAGGTCGGTGACCAATCTTCGAACCGCATGAACAGCGGCCTCAGCGCCACCCTTAATCCCGACACCCAACTGAGTCGGATAGAACTTGGTCTTGAGTTCGACCACGACCAGAGCTAAGGCACATTTGCCGGCCAACCTCCTCCAAACGTTCCCGACCGCAATCGGTCTGACCCCTCCGTCTTTCTTATTTAAAGCTATTAGCCGGCCTCCAAAAAAGAACCGGCGGACGGAGAGTGGGCAAGCTCCAGATAAGATCAAATTAATGAATTGGGTTAAGGAGTTCAGTGTGTCGTCGATACGCAAGGGGTCTGAAAAAACATCCTTAAGGTGCTGGGGTCGTAGACCATCCAGGCCTCCAGAAGAACCGTTTTTGAACGATTTAACGGCCCTCAGCACCTCGGCGGGAGAAACGCAACAAGCCGTTGGTGTCAATGCGGGAAAGACCCGCCTGTCCACCGGAATTTTTGGGTGGATGGAACATAATTTATCGAAGGTGGCCGGCGAGCTCTCCGCAAGGCCCTCCGGTGAACAGACAAGTCTGACAGCCGAGGACAGGTTTCCCTGTTCAATACAAGATGACACAGCGTTGATCCACCGATCGGGGTTGTACTTTTGTGATTTGGCATTATTGAACCCATCAAAGCACAGTACCAGGGTTTCAAGACCAATAGTTGAATATTCGCTTAGACGCTTGTTGACCAGATTGCCCTGGTTGACCCGGCGACCCCCTCTGGAAGTCTTCTGTAAGACGTATGGGACAAAACAGTGGAGTCTAACCCAGTGAGCCGGGTCTGTATGTATGTATGTATGTATGTATGTATGTATGTATGTATGCATGTATGTATGTATGTATGTATGTATGTATGTATGTATGTATGTATGTATGTATGTATGTATGTATGTATGTATGTATGTACGTACGTATGTTTGTATGTATTAATATTTATATATGTATGTAAGTATGTATGCATGTATTTTTTATGGGCGTGTGTGTGTTTATGTGTTTGTATATATTTATGTATGTGTGTGTATCTATTAAGATGTGTTTATGTGTATGTATTATTATGCGTGTATATATGTAACTTTGTATGTATTTATGTTTGTGTGTTTATGGATTTTTCCATTTGTACGGATGTTTTCAATGATTTATTACTAGTTCTTTTAGTTGCTTACATTGTTTGGTTAGTTTGATTGTATTTTTTGCTTTGATGTTATCCAAAAATTTTTTTAATTATTTTTTTTATTTGTTCTAATTTTTCAATTGTTAGATGATTGTTTTTGAAAAGGAAAAATTGGGAGGTTCGGGACTGCCATACCTCACAAGCATTTCGTTCGTTGCAGTTCTGTGTATATCTTGTTATTTAAATGTTTATAACCTACTAGGACGTAGTATAAAAACTCCGTGTTATTCAATGGTGCACAGTGATGTTTAGCCGGCGAGGTCACTGCAGAAACAAGCCAAAGAAAGTACGTCGTCAATTTTTCGAAACTCAAAAAAATTCCGTAATTTTTGCTTGCTTCTTTACAGTCGTTTTTGTGTTTGCATTTATTTGTTTTTTCTGTTTGTAAAGCATGTACGTCTGTGTGTTGGTTAGTGTGATTGTACGTGTGTATACGCTGGGTTGTTTGAATGGTCGTATGTGTGTATGTTTGTTTGTGGGAATGTATGTGTGTATATCTGTTTTTGCAATTTGAATGGAAGGTTTTTTGTATTTTTTAGTCATTGTTTTGTTCGTTTTTGTAAGCTTGTATGCCAGTTTATTTATTGTTACTTTTGTTAGTATATTTGTTTGTTTATATTTGTTTGTTTGTTCCATGGTTTGTTTGTTCCATGGTTTGTTTGTTTGTGTCTTTTTGTTTGTTTGAATATTTGTATGTTTGTTTTAATTTAGTAATTTGTGCATGTGTGTTCACATTCATTGCCGTCCTCGACTGCATAACATTCCTCCTTCCCTACTGCCATCTCTCACCCAATATTTATTGCATAAATATTTGTCAATGTCGTCATCATCATTAGCATCGTCATCGTAATCATCATCATCATCGTCATCATCATCGTCGTCGTCATCATCCTTATCATCATCACCATCACCTAAAAGGCAGTGACAATTGAACGAAGCCAATTTGCATCTAGAAAAAAACGCCAAAAATGATAAATTAAATTGTATCCATTAATATGTATATATAATATATATATATATATATATATATATATATATATATATATATATATATATATATATATATATATATATATTTATTATTCGAAAATTTGTATAGCGCTAATTACAAACAAATGTTTCTCAAAAGCACTGTCTAAAAACAAACAAAAAAAAACATTTGAATTGCTACGATAAACCAAATCTTAAAATCTTATAATGAAAACAAAAATGATTTCAATAATTTCTTGAACAATTTTTCTGTCAGTTCGGGCTGTCTTAGATGACTTGGTAGACTATTCCAAACGGCTGGTCCACATACTGAAAAACTTCTCTCAGCCATTTTCAATTTGGTTTGGGGCACACATACAAGTTGCTATCATCAGACCTTAAGCAGACAGTTTTAAAAGACAGTTGTTTCGGTGCATGCATTTCTTTCAAATAAACTGGCGCCATTCCCTTCATACATTTGAACATGATTGTTGATATTTTAAACAAAATTCTTTTTTTGACCATCAACCAGTGCAGTTCTCTGAATATCGGGGTGACATGGTCAAACTTTTTCGCACCAACCACGATCTTAGCTGCCCGATTCTGAATTGACTGAAGCACAGATAACGATTTTTCAGGCAAACCATAAAATAGGCTGTTGCAGTAATCTAGTCTAGAATGAATAAACGAATGCACTAAACTTTGAATAACATCTTGGGTTAAGCTTTTGCGGATTATTTTTAATTTTCGCAGTTGTAGGGTTGCAGTACCAGATAAAAACGGATAAAATGTTCAGTCATTGCCAGTCTAGAATCAAAAATGACACCCAAGTATATATATATATATTAATATATATATATATATACATAATATATTATTTATATATTATTAATATATATATATATAAATATATACATAATATATTATTTATATATTATTAATATATATATATATATACATAATATATTATTTATATATTGACACATTGATTGATATATATTAAAGATGTGTGTGCATTTACATAAAGATAGGGAGAAAAGAGAATAAGAGAGAGAAAGAGAAAGAGAAAGAGAGAGAAAAAGAGAGAGAGAATGGGTAAGTGAAGGAGAAAGAAAAAAAAAAGTTGTCATCACCATCACCATCATCACCATCATCACCATCATCACCATCATCACCATCATCACCATCATCCCGACCAGTTTCTGAAAATTTGTCTCATCTAGAAACCACAACATAGTAATCTAACAAGAATAACAACAACAACAAATGCAACAAACACACAAAAGCAACATCAATAACAACAACAACAACACTACTACAACAACAGCAACCCAACAAAAACAACAACTAACACATCAACGGCTAATTACAAAAAATGGTTTCAGAAATTTTTCGAGCGTTTTAGTTGCTAATTTTTGAAAAAAAAATTTGTTTTAACATTTTTTTTGTCATTATTTTTATTATTACTTTTATCATTATTATTATTAAAGTTGTTGTTGCTGTTGGTGGTGGTGGTAATGCTTTTGTACTAAAGTTGTTGTCATCATCGATGTATTCGTTGTCGTTGCTCTTCTTACTACTACTACTACTACTATTATTATTATCATAATTATTATTATTATTATTGTTGTTGTTGTTGTTGTTATTATTATTGTTGTTGTTATTATTATTATTGTTGTTGTTGTTGTTGTTGTTGTTGTTGTTCTTCTTCTTCTTCTTATTATTATTATTATTGTTGTTTTTTGTTCTTATAATTATAGTCTTTCCGTTCCTAAGGCCTGAAAAAAAGGATCCGAATCGATGACGCAAAGTTTGAAAGATCGCAAAAGAGGAAATTACGGAAGAAGGAATGAAAA